GAGAGAGAGAGAGAGAAAGAGAAAAAAGAGAGAGAGAGAGAGAGAGAGAGAGAGAGAGAGAGAGACGGAGATCAGACCTTTGAAGATAAGCTGTCTGAAACGGCCAAAAGACCACATCATCAATATTTCTCATCTTCGCCATCCCGGAGACTGCAGCGAAAAAATCCCCAAGTTTTAATCAAGAATTTTCTCTCCGTCCCTTTCTGCGGGGGGTATCAAACCCTGCCGTGAGACCCCACCAAGCGAACCCGCCTAGTTGTGCGTCAATCGTCGTTCGTGTGAGATACATTGCTTGTTTCGGTCGTCGGCGGAACCGTGAGATACTGGCAGAGTATGGTCTTCGTGTTCCTGGTTTTGCACAACGTTTGAGCGACGGAATGGATACCTAGAGCGTGCAGGCAAACGGGTTTGACAAGGAGTACAGAGTGGCAGGAAATCGCACAAGACACCCAACGAGATGTGAAGAAATTGGTAGAATTACAAAGCAGAAGAAGCGAAAGGCGCCGACGTGATTGATGGATTCCGGCCCAACGGCAGCTCTATTGCTACTGCAAGGAACGGCGGATCACGGTCAAGCCTTGGGGGGAATTCAAGAATAGCACCGAAACTCTTCCGCTATGGGCTTCCATGGCGAGCTTCCTGATATCCCTGCGATGTAACCATGGCACTAACCTGCCCACGCACCGCACGCCGTTCTTGACAAGCGCCAGCTGTTAACGCGTCTAGTGACCAGCAGTCACAACTACAAGCGCCCCCCAGTCCTCCTAAATCCCCATCGTTTCACAATCCGAAGGGGGGAATCCTCCGACCTTGTCGCCTAACCTACCTCTCCCGACGGCCCATCACCCGGCTGGCCAAATGTTGTAGGTCCAGGGAAGTCGCTCGTGGAATAGTCATAGCATCTCTCGACTCCGCTGATTGAAGGGTGCCAGCAGTCAACCAGGGTATAATACCTCTTTCCGTCCTCGGTAATCACCTGTTCGGGAGCAGCGTAAAAACGACAGGGGATGGGGGGTGGACACGGCGTGACGAGGAAACTACACCCGAGCGCCTCAACCGAAAGAATTCGACAAAAGCAGAGACATCTACCCTTAGGTCCCCACGACGATTTTGCCCCTCAGCTGCACCTGTACCTTGGCATTTCGTAGATTTTCCTTGGTCATCCAATCGGGATGCCAGCCCAGCATGCCCAGCAGAGAGTCTCCCTGCTGGTTTGACAGAGAGTCCCCCAGGAAAATCACTCGTCTCCCCTTCAAGCACTGGTTTCGATAGTGTCAGCACAAGGGAATTGCAGAAACAAGCCGGGAATGCCAAGGTAGGGAGGAGGGCAACGGTTAACTTTCGGTGGAAGCCCGAAAACAGAATTTACTCTCGGCAGGGAAGGGAGAGGGAGGAATTATTATTGCCACAACCCCCTCACGTTGATATTTTTGTTCTACAGGAAATACAGTTCCTTTTGGAACAACGTCAGACATGGTAGATGACGAAATGTGCCGGGTGGGCGCGGCAAACGACAGTGCCCCCAGGTATTCATGTTCCGGCAAGATATACCACCTGCATCGAAGTCGACTCTTTGTTCAGGCGTTTGAGAGAGTTTGCGTCCAAGCACGAGAGTACAAGTGGGGGAGAGTCGTCGCTCTTCCTCCGCGCATGCGCCAGGGAGTTCGGGGTTGGTCCTTGAAGCCTGCGACCAACCTTCCTCCAGTGGACAAGCCATCCAGTGCCCGAAGCACAGTCCTGTTTCATCCTTAATTCAGCAATGAAAACGATACGTCTTCATGCCTACCAACACCTACACACGAGATGCGAGAGTTTGTTTAGGTTGGGCGTGTACCACGGTTACGCGAATTTCGGAAGCCACCCAAATCAGGTGAGCCTCCTGCCAACAAAACGTTTCAAAAAGCCATCTGTTTGCGAACATCAGGAACAAAGAGGCCCGCTCACCGAAACCACGTCAGGGGGGCCAGAAAACCGCCTTGCCGTGCAAGTGGAGTTGAATATATAGCTAGCTGCGAGGAAGGAGGCTGGCGAGAATGTTCATGTCGTTGGGGGGGAAGCGGGGCCGCGAGAAGGGCCAGCAGGGAGGACGGGGAGAAATTCGTCGGAATGGCATGAAGTAGTGTGTGTGGACCACGGCGGATTTGAAGGTTTAGCTGGCTCCTATCGAGTAAGTGATCGGAATTTGGACACAGCGCGGATGTCGTGTTCGTCACAAACGTGCGGGGAGATCTAACGGTGGAATAGATGCAGCAGCAACTGGGTTCCACTGGACGAGAACAGCCGACCGTTCAGAACGAACTTCCACACATCACCACCGAGAAGCCTGGACTACCAATAAAACTGCCACGGATCACATCCGCCAGTCGCCCAGTTGGACGACCGATCCATCTTCGTTCACGAAAGTACAACGGGATGGAAAATATCAAGGGCTTACTCGGTAGTCCTATCGCCGTGAAAATACCGCCCTGGTGGGCGGTACCGGTATACCGCCGGTGTTCCGCCGGTTTTTGGGTTTACTGCCTCGGCCAGATTCGTTTTAGCCGAAAAACGAAAATACCGCCTACAGTATCGCCAAAAAAATACCGCCGTACGGCCACACCACCGAAAACGTGTCCGCCTCAAAAAAGCGTAACAAGCCTGGGAAAACGAAATATTCCGAGGAGCGACAAATTCTACGTCGTACCATTTCCCTTTCTTTCCACCTCTTACGCACCCTTTTCGTCGCGGCAGGTGTACCGCCTTTCGTACTCGTAGCGCATCCTCAGCGCCGCAGTCGTATCAGTCGCCGCCTTCCACGCGTCCTGCGGCGACACGAGGCACTCTTTCCATCCCGACGCCTTCCCGACGACGACTCCCAAGAACAAAATCACCGACGTCGCCACACGTGACGCAGCGAAAGAGGGAGACGTCGGACGCTCGCCAGGAGCCTGTTTCAAGTGCAACAGCGAGGGGCGAGGATAGATAGCGAAACCGACACGAGAGGAGGAGAAAAGTGACGGTCGAAGTACAGCCCGATATATGTTGCGCGCGTGTGTGTATTCCCTTTTGATAGCACCGCCCTCCAATTTGCTGACCTGTGAGAGACGCTACAGCCTAGTGTAGAACAGGGCGGGAAATATTTCCAGTCCGTGGGCTCCACACACAGGGTGGGCGCGGAAGCGCCTGGAGAGAAGGTGTGTGTGTGCGCTTGTGCTTAAGCCCCATAGACCGCTCCAGCCGGTCAACCAACGACACACACGACGACAAAACACCGGAGTGCTTTCACGTTCGCGATGCCTGTCTCCCGACAATGACCCCGCGTTTGTGCGTGATCTGAATTATGGTCGCTGCTTCGTCTTCTGGTTCGTGTTCATGTCGTGTTGGGACGGCAGCATCACCGATGATGGGTAACAAGTCCATTGCACGGGTTTTCTCGGTAGTCCTTTCAAACTGGCGGGTCTCTCATCAGCTCGTGCTGACAAGGCGTGCAAAGCACCTCGTGGAGAGAAGGAAATGCCTTGGCAGCGTGTTGGCCACTGAGAAGAGCTGTTCCTGCGCTCGCCCGTCAAAACGGAGCCCGTCACCTACATCGTCGCTACCAAAGTGTTTTCATTACATGCAAAATGAAGAGGAGTTTCCTCTTCACTTTCGAAGCATCGTGCATATTTCACGTACTCATCCCAAGAAGGTTGCTTATGGCGGTCTGGGTACGGCTACTGTGTTTCACATAGGGCTGAGCCCATGTGCTCTACTACAGCGCCTGTTTGGATTTGGCCGCAGTATGGACAAGAGAGGTTGTTGGTGGTGGAGGTATTCTTCAGGTTGGGTTCGAATCACAGTGTATTAAAAGAGAGGAGGGATGGTGAAATTCGTTTGACGAATGCAAGCAGACCTGATCACCTCAATCATCACGGAAAACGAAACACCCCCAGAGCAAGAACTATTTTAGAAGAAAAAATGAAAAAACAAGTTCAGGGTGCAGGACGAGATTGCACATGTTCCATGATATGTATACCGTGGGGTGTGTGTGGTCCATCATGAGTGAGAAGTAAGGGCCGTTGCATGGAAAAAATGTGTTACTATGCTCATGTGACACTGCGCACCTCGTTTGTTTTCAATTTGGATGGTATTATAATTAGCTGCGAAAAGGGCCCCCAAAACTCTTTATCTATCATCGTTGAAGCGGGTGGTGGTAGCAGGCCGGCTGCTGGGTTGTTGTGTTGTTCAGCTTATTGGCTGAGGAAAAGGCAATCGACTGCAGCAAGACTGCGATGGGTGAGGAGTGGGGATTAAATGATTTGTAGAGTCTTGTTTCATATGCCCATAACAACGCAAAAGACGATAGATACACACGACCGCGCTAGCGAATACTGTGGTACCGCACGGTACATACAGAGACTGCTGCTGTGGGCATGCTGCGGAAACCTGGGAATTACGAATATATCCCCACGTAAGCGCATGAGAGACAAAAGGAAAGAGAACCAAAACGTGTATTTTGCAGCTGGCGCGCACACCTTCTCCGACGTTGAAGTAGCTGGCGTCATGACGCCCCTTCCTTGCCCGGAGATCTTTTATGTAGAGAGATCCTGGTGTTGTGTAGACGCTGATTGTCGAAGAATATTGTCGGCCCTGTGGCCGCAAGTACACAGAGTTTGCTTAGGCAGATTGAGTACGGTGGCACGGCTATTGTTTGTGTAGGGTTGGCGAAACGACTGTAACCCGTCGAATCTTTAGGATCGTAGGATCGCAGGATCCTGGCATCCTGGCTCTAGACTTTGACTGAAGGTTGAGAAGCGGCGGAATAGAAAACGGTTCGGCACCGGTGTTGTACCAGGATCCAGGAACCCTGAACCCTGAACTGGCCCGATCTTGGATGCACCGCAGGCTGATACAGGCAGTTCATCTCACAGAGAAGAGCTGGTCCTGACCGATCTCAAGGCAAGAAAACCACCTGGTATCTTGCCGGCCATGCCAGTTAAAGTTGAAGAGGATATCTGATGATGATGTTGATGACATCTTCACTCTTGCAAGGCAGACACATCGGCGGCAGTTGGGTCCTGCGCCCTAAGCCTGTAGGTGTTTGTTAGCAACACTGCAGGTTCACGGCCGAGGCACAGAATCTTACTTATTCGTGGACCACTCGACTTAGAGGATGTCGTACACATTGCATCCGCTGTTTTCATGCTGCTGCCTCCCCGCCACCGTTGTTGGCGAACCAAGCCGGAATGTGATGGCGATGTTTTGTCTAGACTGAATAGACGAGACTACAGCGTACTGTGAAGGCGCCAGGAGCTGCGTCTACTTAGAGCCGCCGTTTGATGCCCACTCAGCAGTGGCGTGATTTAGGCTCCCCCGCCCTACAACCATCTCCGTGCCGAACACTTGTCCGTGTATATCTTGTAAGGTGACGGTGGCACTCTGCCTCTTCCCTTCGCGGTATTGTCAGACACGTGTGTGTGTGGTCTCCGCCGCGCTGCCATGGGTCACATGCCCCGTCTTTGACGCGGTTCTTCGACGCGTGTCAAGGCGAGCTACACCCGGCTGCCCACAAAAAAAAAAGACGTTGTGTACTGGGTATGACATCCGATCTGGGAAACGTTGTGTGCCGGGGGGGGTGTATACTGTTGTTGGAGGTCCAAGTGGAAATAACGGCATGTTGCAAACATAAAGGAAACAACAATTAATTGAACGTGTAGAAAGAGGGGGAGTTGGTGTGAATTGCTCGTATCTGCAGAAGGAGAGCTTTCTACTAAAAAGACCTCGTCAAGGAGAAAAGCAACAAGAGATCCAGCAACTGCGAGTACCTCAAGCGGACCTGCTCGCTCCCCGCGTAACTTCTTGTCCATAACAAAACCATTTTATCATCTCGAGTAGATAAGAGATCAACAGCAAACAGAGCCAATGCAACCACGCTACTACTCCTGTATGTTCATGTGCACCTGATTGTGCAAAAAAAGGTTGATCATACTGCTGTAGCACCTACATATGCGTCACACACCGAACAATAGCTTGTGCAAGCGCGTGCATAGTTTCTAGGGCAGGCGCGTTGCGGACGCCCGACAACGAACATCCTTTTCAATCAACACTGTGCTTGCGGTATGAACGAGTGTGAGGGTCTTGCGCTTTATTGCCGCCCCGCGAATGAATGCATGGCGTTTCAACAGCAGTCGAGTGCGCTGTGATTGCAAGATTTCAATGACTGCAATACTCAATAAATGATCATGAGATTCCACACACATTTTCCATGAAACTACTCTTCCACCACAGGTGGCCAGTGGGCACGGTTGTACGGGGGCGTTGTGTAACCTCCGGCCAACCAGGGGGTATTACAAGGGATGACGTGGGGGAGTTACAGGCCGAGCGGGCATAACGTACCGGGTTATGAAAGAAGGCGGTCATGCGCGGATTGGTGTGAAGGAGGAGAAAATAAAAAAATATGTGTCAGCCTTCCCCTCCCTTACTAAGTTGTGTTCCACCCTGTCTGTAGACCATTGTATTTACGCAATGCATCGTCAGACAATTTTGATCTTCTTGTTGTTTTTCTTCGCATTAAACTCGTGTCAGTTGCTCATCCCAAAATCTAGCAAAGATTCGGTCCGTGGTCACAAAAATGCTAGAGCCATCAGAAGACCTAAAGAACACGCACACTATAAGCAAGAAAGGGCACACAAGCCTGAGGAGGTACACCTGCAATCCCTGCAGCACGTTTGCATGCTCACAACTGAACTACACGCCCACACACTACAATTCGACTACAGCCGCAGCATTACCCCCTTGTCCCGCATTTATCCAAAATGAATGTTTGTCGACTACAGCATACTACTGTCTGAAGTGCTGTCTGTACAACAATAACACCATGGTGCATGGTACATAAGCTCGGGGCATGCAGCTGCTGTCTGAAGTGCTGTCAGAGTGAGTCCGTGGACATACAACGAAGAAGAACACCCAACCAAAGCCATCATTGCAATTGACAATCACCCGAATCTATCCAGATCATCTGTGTTAGGCACAGCAGTGTAAACATCGGCACTGCCTAGGAATCGTTCCACATGGAAGGGGTTTTCCACGATGCAGGTACACAATTAAGGCACCCGGGTTATCCGCGCCATCTCTGCCGCGTCAAAACCAGTGACGTCATCACACCCAGCCAACACCTATACTCGGGAAAAAAATGGAAAATAATTGACAACACAAGAGATGTTTGGCCGTATGCCACGGTTCGATGCCGTCCGCATGCTCCGGTTCCGCTGCTGCTCCGGTTCCGCTGCTCCGGTGCCGCTGTGACCAGTCCAAGCACGACCAAACTCGACCCGCTCCGATTCGTACACGCTCTCGTTGCTGTCCTTCCCAGTCGGTTCCTCGCTTTCTCTCTCTTTGCACTTAGGGTTCTTGGTCTGAAAATTCTCGCGCCGAAGGGTCAACCAGCCCAATCAGCTCGTCACCACCTATCCCCTCCTCCTCTGATGGCAAAACCAGGTTACTGAGACAGTATAGCTCCCTCTAGCAAACCTAGGGCCGTGCACATAGTGCCCGTCCATCTTTCTGATGACGTCTGCCTCCGCGCACAAAGATGAGCTGAGCATTGCTGCCTACACCGACGGCCTGGAGGCCCGCGCAGCTGCACCAGTGCCGACCCAACTCCACCACTACGCACGCCTCGCGGCGGGTGCGCCGCAGCAAGAAGGTATCGGTCCCTTGAGGGTGAGTCTAGCCCTGCTCGCTAGAATGACACCCCCCCTCGCTATGGGTCATGCCTTCGCAAAACCTTGCCGAGGCAGCGAGGGGAAGAAAGAGATTGTACCTCAAGGTGAATGATGAAGAAAACATAGCGCGGGTTGGGTCGAACCAGAAACTTAAGCCTACAATATCTGACGGATGACCGCTGCGCTACATGTTGAAACATATGTAGCCTTGATCACAAATTCTATGAATCTACAAGTTAGTGAGTGGGGGCGGAAACAACGGTGGCAACACCACCCACCACGCGGCCGATAAGAGCACACTTATACTCTGCGGTCCCCCCCACGCACAAAGCAGAAACTCCGAGTAATGTCTTCCATTACCAATCGTTCAATGGCAAGTTTTTGGTAAGCTAAGTTTTTATGTTCCATAGCAGCAGCAACATGTATACGAAGTATATAATTGTTTAATGCTGAGCGCGCAATTCGTTTCAGCAAAGACTTTATTATTATATAATAATACTATATTCGACCACGATTGATTATTGTTGTATATTTTTAAGGAGACAGGCGTACGTACGTACGTACGTGTTGTCGTATTGACTTTTACAGAGAGAAGCAGCGTATACATGTATTTAGTATATCATCGCCTACTCTCTCTGTTTTCCTCAGTCTTTGCTTTGCCCCCCAATCGTTGCCGTGCGTGTTTCTACGCAACAATATGTATCAAATAGAATAGGCCCATGTCTATGTTGCTTCCGGCACTACATCATGATCAAAAGATAAAGATGGCGCTCGCACTTAAGAACTTGGCAGTTACGAAATGCGGCCTCGAAAAAAAACAAAATCAAAGAAATTGACCACAAAACAATAATAGCAACACACGTGCGTGCTCAGGCCCGACGTGGTGTTAAGAGTAAGAACGAACCCGCCTTTCTTTGGGGTGCAAGAACAGAGCCCCCAAAACGCGACAGCTGCAAGATATAATAAGCACTCACGAAGGGGTGAGGGGCTACTCGCGGGGTGACCGCTGGGCAGTTGGTTGCAGATCAGCGGCGAGGAGGAGGAGGTTCCTTTGAAAATAGTACCGGTGGTGCGGGGATGGGGGGGGTGTACTGTTATATTGTTGCGCGTCTAACGGTAGTCAACTATAAAAAAATCGGGCTTACAAATGCCGGCACTCTTCTTGAAGCTTTTTTCTTTTAATTGCCGCGAATGTCCGATAAATCGGTGTGTCGTGTACTCTGTGGACATCGGCTGGAACATAGTTTTCGCGGCAAGGCATGGACATTCTCGGGCTTGAACAACCTCGCCTGCAACCATGCACAGATACAAATGTCCCTTAACTGGGTTTGGGCCGGCGTTTCGGAACCCTGCCCGACCTTGGAGGTTGGCAACGGTGCGCCCGACCGGGTTACGCAGGTTGCACAACGCTTAGGGGTTACAGGTCACTTCAACCCCCCCGTTACCGTGCCCACTGGCCACCTGTGACGCAACGATCCTGTCGAATATTCCGTGGCCACTTTTTTTTTCTTCTTAATATCACACAACAAATCCATCTCTATGGAAATAGCCACTTTTGCATGCATGGAGTTCCTTCCATGGACTTTCTTAGGCAAACGGTGTGATCGATTAATTGCTATTTGCATGGTACTACGGAAATACGGAATCTTGTTTAAGATCTGCGAGAAGACCAGTGTCGTTTTGGAAGCACTGAGTAGAGAAGTCAGATGCGTTGTTACAAGTTGCAGAGGAAACAAATAATAAACACAAACACCAAGCATCGCCACCGGGCAGAGGCCGCGTTTCTCATTTCTTGGTCCAATCACAAGCCAAGGGCTCTGACGACATCCCCGGGGCTCATCGTTCTGACACCCCCGGTCCTCATCGTTCTTGTGTATTTCCGCCCTCGCGCGTTCTGAACGGCACCGAGAGATGCTCGAGATGTGTACTCACCCTTCACAATCAAGAGCACTATTTTCTTCGCTTGTCGGACCCCTGCTGCACGGCCCGCGATCCACCCGACATCCCGCCTTTGCCACAACTCCCATGCAATAGATGTCATGTACGCCGGCCGACATGCCCCCATGCCGCGAGCAAGGGCTGCTGCCAGTTATCTTTTGCCAGCAGTATTTTTCGCTTACAATGTCTTCATGCGCAGCAATTTGATTTATTTTGTTCCTCCTCCACGAGCGGCACAACACTCGAAAAAAGTCTGAACCAATCCAACGTACACGAACAAAAAATATCGGCGTATGTATCAACAAGTTGACGAGTCAAACGACCTACTGAATCGGCTCTTCCCAAAACTAAACAGGGTTCCTCTTGAGCTACAGCGGACACAGACACTTGCTGAAACACATGAAACTCACTTGCCATCCAACAACAAAAGAGGCGGCTTTACTGCTGTGCCCAGACTTGCAGGCAAACGTTCTCTGAAAATGTCACCTAAAACATTGCCTGCAGGTATAGACTAGCACGGTTCCTCCTTCGAAGAATCACTCCAACATCCTCAGGTACGGAAATACCTTGGTCGTTTCCGATGGACACACGTTTCTCAACGCCAAGCAGTAAACATCGGCCTGCTCGCCTTCCCTCGGCGTACCTTGACCGTCGGACGAAACAACACAAATCTCCCAGCCCACCACCTTCGTAAACCAACACGCATCATCCTCATCCAATTACTTGCCACGCAGCGCAAAAAAACGACACCGAGAATACGCTCAACACACGCACGCACGAGCACCCACCCTCAAAGATGAAGAACAACACAAATTGTTCGCAGATTCCCATACTTGAAGCTTCCTTGAAACAATAAAAAATAACTTCAGCATGACCAGACACAAGCCACGCGCACCAATTGGAAACAAGGGCCGAGTTTCATGTCACCTCGATACAATCGCAGTCTCGAAGACCGCGTCAGTAGAGAGGCGTCGCGAAACAGTTATGGGGATATACGTTCGGACACGACGGCGGGTCGGATACGGTCTGCACGGCTCTATCAGCAGTGTGAGCAGCTGTTGCTTGCTGGCATTCATCCCCACATCGACATAATTCCGATCATTGATATATATTCAGAATGTTGCGCGGAGCTAGGTCGTCACCGCGAGACTCAAAATGATGCAACGCGTGACGATACGCCCACCACGGCAGCATCCTCCAGAGGAAAAGACAACAAACAAAGGTACATGACAAGCATCTTAACCATCGCAAAACGCCCGGTAGTCTGGGAGAAAGAACGATCGCAATACAGGGTCCACAATGATACACTGCTGGGACACCCATGGCCAAAAGAGACATACAAGTACAAGGAACGGAAAAATTGTTTGAGAAACACGCTTGGAAGGTACTACTTTTGATGCTGCTGCCGATCGGAGCGGAAGAAGCCATTCGCACCTTACGGCTCGAGGACTACCCCAACGTTGCACAGACCCCCCACCCGCGCCATGGAGACGACCCACGAGCCAAACACATAAAAAGTAAATCAAACATTCTACTTCACAGCGCTGTCGTAAGAAAAACTGGTGCTGCTTCTGTTCGCCACCTAGCGCGGCCATGAGCCCCCCCCACCTTTTTCGAGCAAGGCATACAGAAAATATTGACGAAAGAGCAGGCACGAATTCAGATCTTTTGGGAACCCCGCAGGAGCATACAGAAGCATGACGTGGGAGTGAACCGCTACAGTAGGGCACTCAGATACCGAGACAAATTAGATCACATTACTCTCACCTTAGCACACAACCCCGAGGGCTTACACCGCGAGTATCACTCCCACGCAACACCACTCAAATGGGTAATCCCATAACGTTCTACGTATAGGATACTGACTGCTTCGGTAATCTCGATTCTAAACCCATCGATACTAACTAAGCGAGCGCCTTTGCGTGGTCTATCTACATGTCAGCAAATAACCCATCGATCTACAGTATCCCGAAATCGATGGCCAGGTCAGGGTCGAAATCGTAACCGAAATTGCCCGTCTCGATTCCCGCACCATTGCTAGTGACGTCACCGTCTCGAAACTCCATGTCCAGCAATTCGTGGAAGGGAACCAGGTCTTCCAGCGCCTGCTGCTGTTGCTGCTGTTGCTGTTGCTGCTGCTGCTGCTGCTGCTGTTGCTGCTCTTGTTGTTGCTGGTGCTGCTGTTGCTGTTGTTGTTGCTGCTGCTGTTGTTGCTGGTGCTGGTGCTGGTGCTCTTGTTGTTGCTGTTGCTGCTGTTGCTGTTGTTGCTGCTGGTGCTGCTGGTGAATCTGCCGTTGCTGTTGTTGCTGCAGCTGGCTCTGCTGCTGCTGACTTGGTTGTCCCCCGTATGCAACCTCAACCCCTCTATCCCCCTCAGACGCGACATACTGGTGTTCCCGCTCGGACTTGGGGTGCCGAAGCTCCTCGCGCTGATGATACTGCAGGTGCTCCGTCATCGTCATCCCGCCGTGGATGCTGTCATTGTGGCTACTGTCTGTGGTTGCCGTGCGGAATACGAGAGGCTTACTGAACTCATGCTGCTGCTGCTGCTCATGGAAACCTCCGTCCCTCCCCAGCGGGAAGCTGCCGCCCCCGCTCTCGGCACAGCTAGCGGTGGAGCTTGCGGCGAACCTTCTAGTGGGGTTGACGGCAGAGCCGCAGTGGGGTGGCGGCGAGGAGAGGGGTCGTGATGCTGCTGCGAAGGAAGGCGGAGGCAACGCTGTCGAAGTCATCATCACGCTGCTGTCGGTCCCGGAGACGGCACCCCACTCCGGCAAAGGCGCCATCGTCATCGTCATCGGCAACGTATCGGTTGGGGCGTCCATTGTAGCGCCGAAGCTGCGGGTGGGAGGAAAGGGGGTAGAAAGAAAAAAGCAGAGTTGCAGGGATCACTGTGAGGCGACGGGGACGGTGGTGGTGAACATCGGAAAGTTAATCATAGCGTATGTTGTCGGGAGCGCTTCATTTTGTTGCTTTGTTCCCAGCCGTGTAGGGGCAAGGAAACACCCAAGCGCGTCGCACGCCAGGCACGCGCTTCGCCGAGAGCTTTCTTGTGCCGAAGTCGTCTCTAGCCGATGATCATATTAGTCTTCCCGAACTTCCTCACTTCTCCAACAGCAACCCGTCCCTCCCAACCCCAAAGTATGATCCATTGAGCGATTTTTCAAGACGGAGGTCCCCCGAAAACGAGTAGGGGTAGTTTCAAGGCATGTGCAGAACGCCCACATCCGCAGCAGATATCAACGCATAGATCATGGGGCGTTTGTCTTCAGGATCGGAATCTGTGAGGTTTCGAAGAACGACAGATTGACGCTCCCCGCATGCCAGGAGGACTCGTTAACTTGCTGAAAACAATCGAAGTGTTTTACTCGTGCCGCCTCCCTGCTTCCGCTGCCTCACAAATCAAGCACCTGACGCGCTCAACAGTTTCAAAACCTCCTTTTGCCTGAAAAATCAATTCCTTCAGTGTTTCTTGGGGGAACCACGTGTCATGTTCTATCATGCCGCTGAAATGACGTTATTTGTTCAGGAAAGAATGATGGCAAATAATAGCACTATCAATTTCGGATAAATATTTGCCATGTTCTTCACGAACACATTTCCATGTTTTCTGCGCTGGTGACGACACTGGTTGCGAGCTGTTCGTCGATTCTGAGCCACGCGAGTACAGCCTACGCACGGCGTTAAAACGGCCGCACTCAAACCTAGTAAACACCGCACGATGAATAACAAAAATCGCCCGACTTCGCACAACATGTGGGCGTTTCGACTTCACCTGCTCTTGTAGGTGCAAAACACTACTAGAGTTCGGGGACAACGTGTCACAAATCTTGACACTCGGTCGCTATGAACTAAACGGAGCTCTCACCCAGCGGAACCCGAAGCAGCATGCAGGGAAGATGCCGTGGGGTAGTCATACTGGTGATAATCTCCCCCGTCCAAGATACCCCGAGTGGTGTTAGCAAACGGAGGACTACCTGAGGTGGTATTACCGCCGCTGAAAACCATGTCCGCGGGGGACAGCATCGTGAACCTAGCCGCGCCACCGCCACAGCTCGCAAACCCCGTTGGTCCAGGCGGCGCCGGTTGTTGCTGAGCGCCGCTAGTCAGAACGTCTGGGTACCGTGGGTCGGGCATGAGCTCAATTCCTCTCCTTCCGCCGCTCCCGTTCCCGCCCCCGCCCCTACTCCCGCCCCAGCTCCCGCCGGCGCTACTGGTTCCGACACAAGCCTCTGGCATTTGCGAGAACATAGGGCGCGACTCCATCCAACTGTTAACCACGACGATCGTGGGATCGCCCGCCATCTGAGGTGGCTGCTGCTGCTGCGGCCGCTGCTGTTGCTGTTGCTGTTCCTGCTGCTGCTGCTGTTGCGGTTGCCGCTGCGGCGGCGGCAACGGCGGCGGCGGTGGCGACGGGGGTTCGTACAGGTAGGCACCGGCGGAAGCGCTAGATTTACCTGCGGCGGCTTCGTGCTGACTGGGGTATGGCTGAGGGGCAGGCAAGTCGATAAGAAAGAAGCGCGGCGGAGGCATACACGACGAGCGGGAGTAAACGGCAGTTACTTCAGTGCAGTGAGCGAGAAGCACGGGAGGTGCGCCAGCTCGAGTCGGATCGGTAGCGGCTGCAGATCTTAGATGGAACCCCACCCTAAATATTAAACACGGGCACAGCACAACTGGGTAACCACCTCCGAGGGAGTCGAAAACACGGGAACCCGTGTGTGGCTTTCAAGCCAGGCTTTCCTCGATATATGGCACGATTGTGCATCCGCAACAACAACATTAGCTCGCTCCCCCCCCCAGAACAAAGCACCGGTGACGCATAAAACCTTTGAGAATGCCCTAGGGATGTTCTGTGTGTAACCTCCCCCGGGAGAGCTATCGAAGAGGAAATTCAAAGCACGCACGGCACGGATGTCGCTGCTGATGTTGTGGGTATTGCTCGTTTTTCTGCAACGTGAGACCCCGACATGCTCTTGAGCATCTCCCCGCTACGACAAACACAGAGTGTCAAGATGTCGCAGGCGGCTGCTTGCATCACCGAGCACCGTGGCATTGGCGCAAGCATCCCCGCTTGCCCTTACTTTCCCGTATCTATATTTTTGCTTCCTCCCAGATGTTTAGGCTCTCGACATCGTGGGTTCGCTACAGGCCCACAGCAACAACACAAGTCTGTGCACGCACATCCGTTCTGTGTCCGTGGAATTTCCCAAACACAACTGAAAACGCTAACAACGCCCTCGGGGATCACTTCGCCTCGAGGCGTCTGTCCCGTACATACATGCATTTATATTTCAAAACACCCTGTTCTCGAGAACTCTTCCATGGCGTTCCGTTTACCCCCGAAAGGTCAATGCGCTCTACCGGGGCGTCCCACAAAGCGTGTCCGGGTGCCTACTTCGTATTCTTGTACTGTAGCATAGCGCATACATGCGCATCGAAATCGGTTTGCTTTCTCGGAGTTTCGCGTCTGTCTGTATTTGCTGTGTTGTTCGTGCACGTATGATACAGCGTACAGCAGCATGTATCCCGAAGAGGTGAAAAAAGACAATAGCTGGTTTGCATGCAACCGCATGAATGCGCTCAGACCCCGGGCCATGTTGACCTCAACGGACCCGAAGAGCCGAGGAAACACACGTTCTCTAATCTCCAACAATCTCCCGTTCCCAGCAAAACCTCTACAACCACATACTCTTGAGACGCGTGCAGCCCCTTCATGCCGTTTAGGTACCCGTACCACGAGCGAAGAGAGCTGCTTTGGTTATTACGTGGGATGCGCGCCCACCGATTCAAACCTCGTCTGGGAATGGCTCCCCCTTGTCGACCTTGGCGTAGTACTTCTGGGCGTGCGTCCTGATCTGCAGTACGGTGCGAGTGGGCAGCAGGGTGGCTATGCCCACCCAGTTGTTGCGCTTGAAGCGGCGGACCCCGCGAAGAAAAGCGTCGTGTTCCTCTGATGTCCATCTCCCCTTGTTGCGCCGGATCCTTTCGAATCGAAAATAATGGTAGGGGGGACGCATTGGGGGATGAGTGGCTAAAAAACGAGCACCCAGAACCAGACGTCGAAAGTACGTAATCAAAGCTGCACGCGGACGGTGTGAACTTGACAAGCCTACCCCACGTCGTCGCCGGACTTCCTTAAAGAGGATACTTCTTGGTGCAGACGAGAAACCGGATCTCTTAGCAACAGAATAGGCGAGCGCACCCGCTCTTTTTCTTGTTGGCGAAACTCAACGAAACGAGTATAACATGCATACCTTGAAGTGTGTCGAAGGGGGGGGGCAGATGCCGAGCGATTGGGGCAATTAGTTCAATTTGGGATAGATGCAGCCCTGCTGGGGAAACACTTTTATGCCGGAGGAAGGGGGGTTGCACACCCGTGCGACGTGTTCGAGAAGGCTCGGTTCATCAGGCGCAAAACAAACTCCCAGAGTCTACATGATCGATCTTCCTGCCCTCAGCAACACGACTTGGTCGCAAAGGGTGAGCTACAGTGCGCAACCAAAGAACGATGTTGGTACGCAACCAAACAACGCATTTGATATATTATATATTTATTTATTTTTCTCCCATCATTGGACTCTGTCGTCTGCCCCTCTGGCCCCTATCCTCCACTTCTACCAGCTAGACGACCCAACACGGGTCACATAGGAGGGGGGGGTTGGACCCCCTCCTGCGGTTCCTGCCTGAGGTATTTTTATCGCGAGAAGGGTACAGCAATCCCTTCCCTCGCGACCTACGAAGTCGATTATGGTTTACTAACAACGAGCTTTGCAGCGCGTCGCTTTCATCCTAGACCAGGATTTAATTAGTGAGAAAAAACTCACTCTGTCGGGACTCGAACCCATGACCTGCCCCCTAGCAGGCTGCGAGGCTACCCACTTCATATGCACACCGCTGTCACTCCTTCGTAGACTCGATCGCGATCACTATATTGTATGCATGCCTCGAAATACAAGATACGTACGTGCTTCATGCACAATGCCGCAAGAAACAAGTCAAGCCGAAAAGTGCTGTAGACTATGAGTACGACACAGACCTAAACTTCTTCGCCGTCATCAAATGAACAATGCAAACAATGCCGAAGAGGTCGGAGGCCACCAACCGCGGAAACCTGCAACCTCTCCGGCACTCGAACCGCATATAACATGCCAGAAACTTTGACATACCGGCGTTGCAGCAGGTCAGCAACTACCCCAACGGACCCAGGAGTTGGACACGTGAGGTACTTTTCACCTTCCGTTCTGCCAAAAAAAAAGCAGTGTGTGGCCGCCGTCATCGGCAGTCAGCCAGAACAGCCATCTGGCATCTTCTGCGCTGATTGTAGTACGCTTCCACCCAATCACATGCATTGATAACGAAGGCCAACATCTCATTTGCTACAGACAGAACTACCAACATTGCACAGCGCGTGCGTGTGTCCTGCAGGAGACCAACAAGTGCGCACGTGACGACCGAGCTTGAACACAATTGCCAACCGCCTTGTTGGCCTTGGCGTTTGGTATCACGACGTGGGTCAATATTTGGCGCAAGTGCTTCATACCAACAGCAGTCTCATGTCCACCTTGACTTTCTACATGCCCGCTTCACTTGATCGATTCCTCGATGATGTGGTAGCGGGCCCCCACCAAACGCAACAATCCGCAAGAAAACTGCTTTGCGCCCAGGAATACGCCACATGGGAGGAGGGACAGAGGACACTTGCATGCTGCTGTAGCTTACCCGCGCCCATCTCTGGTACCATCTGTACTGAGTAGAGAGAGTTCGGAACGGTTTTTAATGTGAAGGCAACAACAACAACAACAATTGCCACGTGCATGTATTGTTCTCTCTNTCAGTCTAGTCTGCGCCATACCAACCGTACTTGTTGTGGGCTTTCATGTACAGCGGCCAACAAGTCGTTACTGCTGTAGTTTACGAAATGCATGTGTGCTTTAGTCTATACCATCTGGCTCTCACCCCATGAGCTGCTGCCTCCGAAATATATGCCCTCTCCTCCTTCCTCCTCTCCTTCGCCTCTTCCGGCTGACCTTCCCGTCAAACTTTTCTTCTTGTGGAGGAAATCCGGTGATGATGATGAAGATGAGCGAAATGTTGTTGTTATTGTTGTCTTCGTTCCGATCTCTCTCTACCCAGTACCTTCGTATGTCCGTACTGATCCAACACACGACGCGGTCGATTCCCGTGGTCACAGTTCAACTTACCCTAAAGGTGCACTGAAACAAACTGGCACTGAGGGGTCCGCAAATCAATAGAAATCAACCACAGATATACTGGAGTCCTCCACTCCCTCTGCGCGCTATGCGAGGTAATAACTGAGACTAGGAGTCACCATCGCCGGCCGGAGAGAAAGTGGTACACTCCCTTGGTTCAATCTAGGTACTTCACAACGCAAGCAGATACAAGGCCATCTGGCACGGAGAAAGAGAGAAAAAAAGAGACAAAAAGAAAACAGAGAAAAAGAGGAAAAAATACAAAAAAAACGTAGCGGGACAGATCTACCTCGCATTCAGCCAATCAAATGCCTGC